ACAAGCAACTAGAATCATTGCAAGGTCAAATGCAAAGAGGAGATATGAATATGGTGTGTCTGTTGGGCACTAAAGGTTAAAAAAATTAACTCCTTATAATTTAATATTTTCTTTCTTTTTGGTTGGTAATCCAGCAAAAGCAGAAGGATTTTTCATTTGTTTGATTTGCCAAATGTTAACAGACAGTCTACTACCTTCAGTGTTCAGGCAACCAAGAAGCATCTTCTACCTTGTAATTTGATCTGTAAACTTCTTGTCTATACCTGAATTGTAGTCTGGTGTAAATGATCTGTAAGCTTATTGTGGAACAAGATCATTATTCTGCAATTATAATGCAAAGTATATATATATCCATAAAACTATCTCAAGCTTCACTCTGGAGCAATTTTTTGACTTTCCAATTGTAAGTTTAGTTGTAGTTTAAAACCTCTCATCTTCTGTTGAGCTTGACGTTTAGCCTGCAGACACCCGGGGCTAATGGAGAATGGCGTTCTTTAAAGACTGCTAAAAAGCATCAATATTTAACAAACATGGAAATGAGATCTTTTTCCAGATGAAGTGAGGCCTGACATGCAGTTGAGAAAGGCTCTGTGGTGGAAGAGGAACTCAGATTGTTTAGTTACGTAAAAGCAAACAAGTAAAAGTCCTGCAAAAGTATCCTGCTTCAGTAAAAGTACAGAAATATCAACAGCTAAACATGTGTAAATGATCAGCAGCGAAAGCAGTGGTTTAGTACAACATCACTACTACTACTGATCGCTGATGCATCTGTGTGTAAGCTGGAAACTTCTTTGTAGTTTTACCTCTTTGTCCTTAAACAATAATTAAAATGGTCAGTGAACTCACATTACTCTGAAAAGACACCAAGTTTTTTGTTTGTTTGTTTGTTTTCTGGAATGATTAAAAGACAAAAATTAATATCTTTATAAATGTGTTGTGTTTTTCAGCTTACCATGTGTGTAAATGTGTATCATCATTTAAAAAGCAACTAAAACTGTCGGATAAAACAAGTGTAATACAATGTAAATCTTACTCTGACGTGTACGGAAGTAAAAGTAAGAAAAGTAAATACTCAAATAAGACAAGTAGCTTAAAACTATAAGTGCAAAACTTAAGTAGGAAGGGTTAGGGTTGCGGTTACGTGGGGCTTTGAATGAGGTTATCTCTGGATGTTCTGGTTTTTCAGCTTTCTCAAGCCCTATTCAGACATTGCTGTTTTAAAATGGTCTTGTGTTATTTGTCATTTGTGACTTATACATGCCTATGGCTTTATTCAAGCACAGCAGTCAATTAGGGAAAGAGCCAATCCCTGGCATCCAGTGTGCGCAATAGAAGCCATGATGTTTTATGCAGAAAATTGAAAAACAGCACATGATGTTTAGAATGATGCGAGCTCCCAGACAATCTTCATGGTGTCATGTTTCTCAAAAAAACAACAACAAAAAGAACCAGGGGAGAATAAAATACATCAAATGCATATTCTCCATTTGAATATTATGATGTTTTGTCTTTTTTTTTTTTTGCATTAAACCTACATCTTTAACTGGTTACCCTGTTTCAGAGCAGATGACCGTACAAAGCTTGATATCACTGGATTAGAGCTTGTTTTCTGTGTACATTTTTTTGTCCTGTCTCCCAACGTCTGTGCCTTCCTCTGACTCCTAGCTGGAGGCTAATTAATTATTCTCTGTGTGAAGGATGTTTTGGCCCAGAGCGATTGCTGCTCCTCTGTGGCACTCCTGTTCTCTAGATCACCTCAAGCCAAATGAGATGTGGTGGGGAGGAATAAAGGGTCAAAGCCCTCCATCTCTGCACCCTCCACCCTCAGCCACCATCCCTGCCTCCATCCCCCCAAACCCCAGCAGCACTGACAATCCAGAGCCGAACTACGAGGAACAATGTGGCCCCCTGGACGATTTTTCTCTTAAAATCATTGCCCCGTCTGACACAGGAGTCTAGTAAATGCCAATATGGTTTAGTGAATATTTCATTTTTTATTTCCCAAGCTCTGCCTTGTTTCACAGGATTGCATTTTGTACCTCTCTTGTTTCTCACTTTACTCTCCTCTCAAGCTTTTTCCCAGATCCTTTCTTTCCCTATCTAAGCAGTCTCGGCTAATGGAGACTAAAATCTTTTTTTTTTTTTTTTTATCCGCAGAAATCTCTACATAGGATTGTAGCTGTCATCTGTTACTTTGCTCTCATCGGTTCAGGTCCGACGTCTCTAAGAAGCAGGCAAATTAAACCAAAAGCTGAAGAGGCTGTGTTCTAGTTTGCAGTTGTTAGTCATGCCAGATGCCTAGTAAACAGTCAGGGATGCCTGCAGTGGCGATAGCAGCTTGTCTGGGCCGAGGCAACAGTAGTAAAATCTTTTCAGGACATTTTACTGTGACAGGGGTGACAATTCTAGTTCCCTTTGTTTTTTGGTAAAGATAGTGCCATTAAATATATGTATTTATAAGGTCAGTCATTCATGGATGGATGTTTAACATCCTCCATCCCTTCTACATTTGAGCAAGACAGCCAGAGTGAAAGAGACACAACATGACTACAAACAACGTGGATGTGGTTCGCATCTCTATGCAGTCATTTTGCAACTCAGTGGTCTATTTGTTCTTTGCTGCAGTCATTTTGCATCTATTTTTGAAGGTCATTTTGCATTTGTTTTTTAGCTGGTTCTGTTCTGTAATCCACATGCATCTCTTTTCGGTCATTTAGTATAATATTTTGGTAATTTTTTGCAGCTCATCAAGGTCTTTTTGTGTCTTTTCAGACATGTTGTATATGCTTGTGTTTATTTTTCCATCTTATTTTAGTTGGTTTATGTATGTTTACAGTCATTTCAAAGAGTTTTGGGCACAAGTCCATGGGCCTCCTGACCTTTGGGCTCCTGAGCCTGTGTGGTCAACCACATACCCGTCACAACCGAAAGGCTTTTTAATTCTGCACTATTCACCTTTGATTCCAACTATGCTGTTAAATTTAGCTGCCTTGGTGTGAGGGGATGAAGATGTAAACCAAAACTCAAGCTCTGCACACGTTTGCACTGCTTTTGTCTGACAGCAGAAGCTCAAATTTCTAGTTTTCTGTTTCGTGGAACACAACAGAGTGAATGCCTTACCCATTATGTTACAAAGATAGAGGAATGTGAGTGTGACTCCTCAATCATTTCCTTAAGCTTGAGAAAGTATTTACAGCAATTTCATGAGAGCCACATCCGAAGAATCAAAATGTTTTTGTCTGAGTATGTTTTGGAATTCAGGCTTTTAAAACCTGCTCACAGTCTTTATAGGCTTCCGCAGCAGTATGGACTTCATCTAATGAAACCATATGGTGTAAAATTTGGAATGCAGAAGAGGGTGAAACACAAACAGGCAACAGCGTGTTAGATGAAATAACAGCAAGTAGAAAAAGATTGCACAGTGGTGCATGCAGTGCTTTTACGTCGAGGAGACTTCCAGTGACATAAATGAAAAAGGATTGGACAGGGTTGGGGATGGACATGACATAGCTTCATACATCACGGGCAGTGGGAGTGTCCCAGGATATGACAGAGGACAGAAGTGCTGTATTTTCTTTGGAAAAAGGAAAATGACCTCTGTTGTAATGAACAAAAATCAACTGGTAATGAACCAAAGTGACTATTGTATGACTATATTGTAGTTACCATGCATGGATACTGTAGAAATATATAATGCAATCTAATGAGAGTGCTGTCCCTTAAAAATGGCATTCCACACTGCAATAGCTCAACTGGTTGAGCTGGCGACGCATGTACAGGGGCTGTAGTCCAGCGGCCATGGGTTCGAATCCCACTCATGGTCCTTTCCTACAAGTCCTTTCCCATTCTTCTCCCCCACTTTCCTGTCTCTCTCTTGACTGTCCTATCTAATAAAAAAAGGCCCAAAAAAATGACTTAAAAAAAAAAAAAGCCATTCCTATACATCGAGATTACGTTCTATATGTTTTTAGGCAACATGTTTTCTCCCAGATGCCATTTGTTTGTGGCATATCACAAATACACTTGTAATCACAACAGTCAACCAATCATATATTAGATGGGTCCAGATCTGGTAACATGCTGTCAAATAGTGTAGTTTAACCTAAACCATATTCTGCTAAACCTATTCTAACTAACCAAACAGTGAGTGAGAACTAGAAAAAAAGAAGAAGTTCTGTGGCTAATGTCAGCAAATGTCAGATATTAGATATTGCTGTAACTGACATTCTGGAGTCGGTTTGCACATGTTGGCACCTTTCTATATTTGTGCTTTTTGTCTTTTGTACATCACAGGAAATAGTTCAGTGCCGTGTATCTGTGACATTCTGAGAATTAGTATAAAGTCAGCGTTACACTTTCTATATCCACAACTACATGAGACTGCACTTGTGTCCATATGACGCAACCCAAGAGTGTCTATGAGAGTCACTCTGCAGATGTCCACATGCAGCCAAACACTACAGTGGCAGTCTTTCACATGCTTGCTGCCAGTGTGAATGAGCAAACTATACAGACTTGGATCTATCTGTGGAGGAGAATCTCTAAGGAAACTACGTAGTATAATTGCAACAACTACGCATCCGTGGTTGTCTTTGTATGTGTCCACAGGGAGCATTATCAGGCCTCAGCAAAGTAGTCTCAGCAAAAATGAGCAATAAAGTTTGCAAACTGACTCAGTTACACAGACTAATCTACCAAAAGATTTCTCACATCCTCGCCACCATTTTCTGGTGGTCACAGGGGGGTTAGACACTCCTGTGGAAATATAGATTTCTCCCCTCCTTTCCTTCTCTCAGTTTTCTAATGTTCCAGATGTCATATTCTTTCTAAACAACATATTCCAGTATTATTCAGCAGTACATGCTGCTGGCAAATGATTTGTTTTTCTCCGTTGAGAATTGTCTAATTGTATAGCCTCTCACACCCTTACAGAAATATGTGGACTGGTGAAAGAAAATGTCTTGTTAATGTTTTCAATGCTCTGTTTCTTGTCTTCACAGGTACAAGAATATCATCCAGCTATGGACTGGCTGTCCTCCTTCTGGCGTGTGGTGTGGTGAGGGATGCCTTGTTATAATTTGAAGAACTGACATGGTTTGCACCCAGATCTCTCTCTCTCTCTCTCTCTGTTTGCTCTCAAAGCGAACAAGAAAAATTGCCTGTTTTATTCCTCCCTTCCTCTCCCCCTCCCCTCCTGTCCCCACCCACAAGTAACCCCATCCTCCCCCTCCCCGTCCTCACCACCATGCAGACAGCGCAGCTGGCCCTGCATTTCCTAGCCACTACTGCTCTTGCACCCAGCACATTGTTATTAGCCACTGTAAACACCAGTCACATTTAAAGCAGTTGGATTACCTTTTGTACAGACGTCAACTCAACACCATCTGAGGTGCAACGCTCCGGTGTGAAAACTGGACTCTGTACCTTGTTGGATAACTCTCATGGAAGAATGACTTTCTTATGGTTTCGCTGTTCCAGTTCATGTGTTCATTGCTCAAAAGTGAACAAGAAAAAAGGAGAATCTATATTTGTGTAATATATATATGATTCTAGATATATATCTGTTTTATTTGAAGCACCTAGAATTAATGTATGTGCTGTATACATAGCTGCCACTCATCATATTGGCCATGGAACTTCATTGTGAATAGGCACTCTAGCCCTCTCAAAGAGATAAATTAAATTCAAGTATGTGTTAATTTAGACTGTTAACATTGACCATCAGGTTAACAAATGTTAAATTTTCCATTTTCTTTCAGCTGTATTGGCCATCCAAATTTCTAATGTGCATAATTTTACATCTTGTTAGTGATACATATACAGATGTGCATGCTTATTGGTCTGAAGGCTTAAAAGAGAGGAAAATAGTTGAACAACATAAGTCAACACTTGGAGTTCAGTGTTACAATATGTTAAATTTAGCTTTATTTTAATGTGTTAGTTTTGGTGTGAAAAAAAACAAACAAATTGTCCTTTTGTCATTTTAATTTGTATTGCATCCTCGGTAGGAATAAAAAGGATGTCACAATTTATGAGTCATTCAAAATCCTGATATGTGACCATTGGATGATTAATTTTAAATGACCTGCACCATTTCTAAATGGCATGCTTCAGTTGCTGTGCACCTCCCTGCTATGTCTCATTATTATGGAGGATGAATGAGTATTTACCCACTTTGGATCACGAGCGTTGCTAGTTATGTTGATTCCAACACACAGACACACACATTTGCACATTTAAAGGGAGACGTTTGAGTGGCAGGGTGGTGACGTGAGATTCAGTAAAACACGGAGAGCAGACTCAACATTATATGTGACCCACGTTTGGGAGAATTGTGGAGTTTGGTTGAAATCTTTTCTCTTTAGATCTCACAACAATATATTTTTAGCTTTATTTTCAGATGATATATCATAGAGATTTTTATTCACGCAGAGCATTTATAAGCAAAACGCTTTGACAATCTGACACAAACACAGGCAAACGACTGGTTGGGTTTCATAGTGCACACTATGCCTATATTTAGATCATTAGTGTGATCCAGAAAAACGTTCAAAACAAGAAAATGATTCTTTAGTTGTTGTTAACTTTTGAGCCGAAGAGGAAATTGTGCACCATCCATCAGAAACACGGATGTTCAACTTCAAACTGAAATATTTATGAATAATAGACTAGCTGATTTATGTCTCAAGAAAGATACTGTAAGCGAATGTTATCCACCATGAATATCATGCTGTCAGAGTGCAGCAGTTGCCCTGCTATGAGATCAATGTTTTATTTCAGTGGACACCGGCCCCCTTAGCACATTCTATTTTTTTGCTTAGTTAAAGCCTTAACATTTTGGTGGTCAACATATAGCATGATTATCTGGTTCCTCATTCGTTGTATGCTGTAATCTAACATTCATACATAACATACAGATGAAATTTGCAATACTTACATTGCTGCGTGTTCTCACAAAGCAAAATATTCACCTCACTTTGAGCTTTTATTCTGCTTTGCCGACAAAGCAAAAATCCCCCCTACATGTATAGCTGTACTGCATTCCCAAAGAACGATGGAGGGAAACTTGTTGATTCAGCACAGAGGTTTAAAGGCTGACAGGGTGTGTCACGCTTTAGGATAAGACCAGCGACATCTTCTGATCAGCAGCTTCCAAGCCTGGGTACAAGATGTGTGGGCGATAGAGGGCAGCCCTGTCTAATCCCTCAAGTTCCAAATAGCTTCAGGGTGTATTTGGACGGTTAATCTAGCATCACTGTCACATGTATGCCACTCTGCTATTACCGGGAACTGATTTTTTTTTTCCCCCCAATGAGACATGTTATGTAATATGATTCAAAACATTTAGTTTGCAGAGGAAAAAAAATAAAAAAAAGAACAGCTTATTTAAGGCACTGAGAATGGGATTTGAATGTTGATTCTGTTAGAAGCGTGCTCTAGCACTTTGGAGAGAGTGTGCACAGTCTGAGTGGACAGTGTGTCCAACCCTCATGTAAAAAGTTACAGACCTGTACAACTTGTAAATGAAATAATCAGCATGTTAACATGTTTTTTAAAAAATCCATTTAAAAAGGCAGAGGCCAGTGATGTTCTGTACTTGTAACAATGGTGTCATGTACTCATATTCAAGTGTTAACAAGTCCAAAGTGGGTTTTCATCTCTTCAAAATGAACTTGGGTAAAATGTATATGACAAAAAAAAATTATATCTATATATATTAGAAACATCTCCTTTACAAAGCTTTCATCTTAATCTAGGGGACTCGCTTGATCGTGGGTCCTTGCAACATAGTGAATAACACAGAAGGAGAGATTGGAGCGGGGATTGATTTGATATTGTGATCGGAGTGATGAAAAATGATGCTTAGTTTGGGTATTGATGGAGGCTGAGTTGCTTACAAGCACTGAGGTCTCTATTACCAAAGAGGAGAACAGTTCACGATGACGGCTAGAGCAGCAGTTCCTTCATCCAGGGATGTTATTTCAGAAACATCACACAACCATTTCCTGTTCTGTTTTATATGCCACACTATTCATCCACTCTAGATGTATTTGTTTCTTCTAATGTATTTCATTTCAATGCGGTCCTGTCTGTTTGTTGAGCTGTCAAAAATTCTGATGAATTATGATTCTCTTTTCTTTGGTATTGTGTGAGGCTTCTGTACTGGAACATTGCAACAGTTTGTATTATAATGACAATATCAGAATAATATTTAAATAAACCATTTTCACAGATGAAATTCAAACACTGAAGGATTCCATCTGTTTGGTTGGTAACATACTGAGCTTTATAGTGAGTGAACTTGAGAGAGTGCTGACAGCGGCAAAAACCGGCCCAGTTTCTCACTTGAAGGAAAGTTACTTTTGTGGGGGCTTAATAACGCTTCATTTGCTAAACATTGCTAAATGTTGCTCAAATGCAACCCTCCCCTCATTTATGTGCTACCAAGTGGTGGAGAAATGGAAAAAATAAACCAACAACAAAAAAGAAGAGATTAAGTCACAGTCATGAAGAATATGAGTGTGACTGTTGCATGCTCTGCTGCTGATTGATGATCTTGGGATGAATTTGTCCTCACAGAAATCCCAATTTACCTCTATGTTTGTAAAGGAATGAGGAGCTTGAGACATTTTAACTCATTAGCATTTTTACATACTGCAACTATACATTAAAAATTTAAATACAGCTGTACAATAAACAGGTGGTGAGTTCTACATAAACAGAAGATGAGAGTCCTTATAAGACAAGTATGTGCAGTTATTCTCTGTGCTGGAATGAGCATTTCTGAAGTTGAACAGAGTTTGCACAACATGAAGAGAGCAAGTAAAAAGTAGGGATGCACTGATCATTTTCCTAAATAACAAACACACAAGTAATGTAGATGAGCTGTAGCACCTGGTTGTTCTACCAGGTGGAGCCTCTTACTGTTTAATACCAGAGAAGGTGGGCATGTAGACTTTGGGCAGTTCTGTATTGGCACATAGCATTGTGGGGGTTTAGCTCGCAGTTGGGTACCACGACAAAGATTTCTGTGATCCTTAATTACCTCCAGGCAGGGCGTATGTATGTGGAACTGGTGAGGACAGTGTCCCTGTATCCTTATTGCATATTTAAAAGAGCTGACTTTGCGACCCCGAGCATATGTCCATTGACTCAAACAGCATTACCAACACAGGGCAGATGTCCACTGTGCTCATTGAGTGTGATCTATTCATCTCTTAATGTAATTAACCATTATTTGATAATGCTATGGATTATTAGGAACAAGATTCAAAATCTGCATCTTTAGTATCCCGCCACAAACTGTGCTCTCTAAATGACACCTATGTGACAGCAGATTCAAACAAATGATCAGATGTAGCTTTGTGCCATTGCCAGTCAGTTAAAAAAATACTTTGATAAACCTTGATCTATGAGACATAGTTTAAAGTTTGGTGACACCTGCTCATTCAAGGGATTTTCATTATGTTTACTGCTTATTTATTTCAAATCCAAAACTATGTAATTAAGCAAAAACAGAAGAAAAAAAAATTAAAGAAAGCAAAATATGTTCAATTTGTTGAACCACCTTTTGCTTTATTAACAGCATCGCACATTCATCCTCTCAACCAGCTTCCTAACGTCGTCAGTTGGAGCTTTTCTAACAATCTTGAAGGATTTCCTACCACATGCTGAACACTTGTTGGCTTCATTTCCTTCACTCTGAGCTCCAAAGTCATCCCAAACCATCTCAGTTGGGTTCAGGTCTGGTGATCGAGGAGGCCAGGTCATCTGCAGCACTCTATCGCTCTGATTGTTGGCCTTTACAGAGCCTGGAGGAGTTTTGGCTCATTGTCCTGCTGAAAAAGTATTGCTGGTCCCACTGAGCTCAAACCAGATGGGACAGTGTCGCTGCAGAATGTTGCTGGTAAAGAGTTGCCTGACGATCTGCATAGTTTGCCAGTGTTGTCACCCACAAATAAACAGTGCATCAACTTGAACTTATTTTTGAAATATCTATAAAATGTTTGCTGAGTAGTAAATGTGAGTCTGCTGACTGAGTCTCCAGACATTAATACAACATATATTATACAAGCT